TTTTTTTTTTTTTTTTTTTTAATTAAAATCATTTAATAATTAACATTTTATCATATTATACAACTCGTTGACAAAAATTACGAGTGTCGGTGATTATAAATTATTTTTGTAAGTTGAACATAGGATTAATAATACGGTGATATATAACAATATGATCAAAGCTGTTTTAATTATAAGAACACAGAATTCCATTGTAGTAATTGTTTACTAATTAGGAACTCGGTATTGCATATAATGTTTTTTTTTTAATTGTTTTTTTTTTTTTTATAAATAACAGGGTTTGTGAGATAAGATTGATCAATATGTGTTTAATTTAGGTGTCAGAGCGATAACCTTTCATAATATTCATGGTTTTATTAATTATAATTTAAAAAATATTTTCGATCATACAATATTTTTCTTATTCATTTCTATTGTTTTATTATAATCAATTATGAAAGGTAATGGTGCTATAATATGGTGAAAATGACATGAATAATAATTAAATAATATAGATGGATGATAATAAAGGGTCTCTATGGTTTTAATCTTTCTTTTCTACTACTCAAAAATGAACATATCCAATTACGAAGAAAAAACAAAATAGATAAACGTGATGATAAAATGGAGCCTGATAATGAGACAATTAAAAATTAGGGAATTTCATTGAAATATATTGGACTAATCATTGCAAGGTATTATATAGTATATATATATATATAAATATTAAAAAAAACACTGCATAAGCCACATTTCAGAAAACAAACTTTTTCATTTTGTTTTTTTTTGTTTATTCATATCGAATATAAAATCTCAATGAAGCAAAATCAATACGATGATAGAAAGTAAGAAAGAGATAGATAGATAGATAGATAGATAGAAAGAGAAGTGAATAAAAATTGAAATAAAAATATTGATATTCTAATACTAATTTAAAAAAAAATCCCTAGGACACAGTGCCATTATGTTTAAATAAGCGGATAATAATTAAGAGAGAGAGAGAGTTTTTGAATCGTGGTCAAAGCAAACTAATTGTATACTTGCATTCATCGAATAATCAAATTTGCGTAGAAAAGAATTAAGACAATATATTTAGAAATAGGTCAAATAAAAATTGTCGTCAATCCTTTGATCTATGAAAATAGCAATCCATTAAACCCACACGTTCCTTGCTTAACTGCATTTGAATTAGCTTCATTTCTTTCGTGATATGTGTTTTCGAATGAAAAAATGGTTACACATACCGTAAGATTAATTATATTTCTTAGATTTGTCTAATGTGTATTTTTTTACTGTACTTGAAAATTTCCTTTATCTGTTTGTTGGAGATTTTTATTTCTATTACGCGATCATATGTATAAACCAGTTTGCATATTGTATTTTAAAATTAAAATTGAAGTACAGTTAATTGCATTAACAAAAATAATCAGGCATTTACGAATACTGTATTAGAGTAAAATTTTGTTAGTTAATTTTCTCGTAGCAAAGCTTAATTAAGAAATGCTTTAAAAATTATTTTTAAATCATATCAATAATCATTGTTCAACAACAATAATTCTTTTTATCTTTTAACGAATAAAATATATCATTTGACATAGAGAAATGAGAGTTTCAGCATATACCAAAAACAATACAGAAAGCAGGGAACGTGTTAATAATATAAAATAGAGGCAGTGAAATAATGATGAATTATTATAGTGATTAATCGCGTGTAGAGGGTTTAGAAAAAATATATAAATATATTAAAAAAATTTTTAAGAAAGACGAGATGAAACGGATTACTACGTATGAATGATCAATGATTAATGCGATGAATGAATGATTGAATGAATGAATGAATAAACGTGTCAGAGTGAAATTCGAATTTTATTATTATTATTTCTTTCTTTCTTTTTTTTTTTCCCCCTTTCTTTTTATATTTCAATCTAACATTACCAATATTTTATTCTATGATTCTTCAAATTGTATTAAAAAGTTACGAAAATAATATTTTTTCGTTGTAATATTTGAGGTAATAAATATTAACAATTAGAATTATGAATTTGAAATGATTATTATCAATGAAATCATAGAATATTTATTTGTTCGATATGTCTTTAAAAAACTAACTAGTATATTTAATGTGCATAAGAGAAAATAAAAAAAAAGAAATAGAAGAAGACAAGAAAATAAAATAATTATTCTTACCAATTCCAAAAGCTTTAGGTGGAGGGGAAACAAAGTTTTCTTCGTTCCTTGCATGACCGGTTGATGCTCGTCGTGAATGTGGCAGCCCATTTAATTCTGTGTTGAGATCCGTAACGCTTTCAGAACGTGTGACGTTTAATGAATCCATCGAAGTGTCAAACCTCATGATCTAATATTCAAACAAATCATTATGATAAAAGATTAAAAACGTGTTGTAATAATGAAAAACAAGGGTGTACAAGGAACGCTGACAATTACATTATTGATATCGTGAAAATGAACTGATTCATTTTAGTCGAGATCGGCGTGTATAAAAGGGAATATAAAAAACAATGCGCTAAAAGAAAGAAATGAAATTAAAATAAAAAGCATACAGTGCGTCCGAGACGGCGAAGTGGCAGTAGTACCTGGGAGAAGTTTGGAACGCTTGCAGTCTTGCGCATAAGCGGCTGGCCTTGAGCTTGCAACAGTTCTTTAACAGCAACACTTTGCCTTAATCGATCCAATGTTAAGATACTTTCGACAGCTGACACACCTCTTGTATATTTTTCTACAAGATAAATCCACAATATAATCCAATTAGATATTTTAACGTTCATAATCTTGGAAGATATAAATTTAATTTGACAAACTTACCGATGTAGGTTTCACCATCGCATAGACTGTTGTCTTCACCGCTTGCTGCAATCTGTGCTAAACTTTCACGATCTTCCAATTCTTCACTAGCTTTTGGTATATTAGATACAACTTCGTATGTAACACCAGTCTGAGCTAGACAATCGGTGCGTACAATTTTTCGAAATATTCTATCAGTTATACTCTGTCTTTTATAAATATTTAACGCCAATCTTTTACGTAATACGAGATCCATCGGGGCAGGGTGAGACAGGCGTACTGTTGTTTTTAAAATTAAGAATACTCTTTCGTTAGCTGTAACATTATTGTTTAGATTCTAAAGTTATTCTAATTCCTCTGAGATAATATCAAAATGGTATACACTCGACCCTTCCGATATTATATCGATATTATGAATGATATAAGATGGTCGAGTGTATAAATGAATTTAAAATATATAATACCATCGGTAACTCTGTTAAGATGCACGCTATCGTGTATACTAGAATCCCATGCTGCTATAGCACAAACGTCTTTTTCCAAATGACGAATGAATGGTAGATTATAAAATTTGTTACCATGTTCCTTAGGTAAAATTGAATTTAATCCGGTAACGGATACTTCTTCTCCTGATTGATGCGTCGAGAGATCATCGGCTGTTTTATTTATTTTATACGATTTCATTAATCACATCGTTTTAAATTTAATAATGTTATTATTTAACACTAGATTACCGAAACATATTTAGACGGATGTAAATCAAATTGATTCATTTTTAAATTTGTAATTGACTTATTTTCAGGCAATCTAGTGTTAAAAGTAAATTCAATTTCATTCATTTATACCATTGAGATCAAGAAATAGGACTGGAATGTGTGGTTCCATGCCAGAAGGTGGATTCCAATCAGCTGGAGCACCAGGTATACCTGATCCTGCTGCAGGTACTAAAACTGCATTTCTTTCTTCGGTTAAACTAACCCACTGATCAACGAGACTCTGTTCACGTTCTACGTCTTGTTCAGTTTTTTCTATATAATAAAAATTATTTTTATTACGACGTAGCGCAAAAAAATGAGCTTATTTTTTATTCATTTATATATTTATATCAAACAAATTATTTTATAACATTTACCTTGTTTATTTATAAGCTTTTGTATCTGTTGATCTAAATATTGTCTTCGCCTCATCAAAGCATCGCTCCACTTTTCCCTCAATATACTTAAATCCTCATCCTGATAACTGTCCAAAGGAATTTGAAGACGATTCCTAACAGACACGCTACCAACAGCTATATTCAATATCGATTGACAAATAATCGGCAAAGTTCCTGAATTTTGTACTGGTTTAACTCTGACTTGTATACGCCGTTGTTGTCCTTGTCTCAATTGATAAATGCCACCTATACACGTATTCAAAATCAAATGACTATTTGATATATCCAATAAAGTAAGAAGTTTAATAATTCTTTTAATAAATGAGAAATGAAAATTACCCGTCCACGTGTCCTGTTTCGTAACAACTTCGACAGGCGAATATTCTCCTTGTTCGTTTAGTTCTTGAATTTCTACCCACAATTCGATTTTCCTCGTTAATTCTGACCAACGATCAGCCAAAGATCTGGCTTTTGCCAATTGTTGTTGTTCCACTTCCCATCCGGGTTTGCTACGAGAAAATCCAGCACTTCTGTGACCCCAAACTTCTATACTTAAAGCACCCTCTGTTTTGTTGAAAGAAAAATAATATTATAATTATTTTGTAAATGTTATAATAGAGAAAAAAAATGACGTGTTCTTACCAGCACAGTGTTCAATAAACTCTTCCGTTATCGGTACTTTAAAATCTTCGGTATGATCGAACCTGAATGCAAGAGAATCCCTTTGACCTGTGGCACAGTTTGCAGGAGGTAATTCAGCATTGACTACAGGTGGTACCACAATTAATTCTGGGTTACCCCAAAACATATATTGACAAAAGACAAAATGACTCAAGGATAGCGGTAAACCGGTAGCTTGTTTTATTGTTACACGACAAGTTATGTGACTCGAACCAGAATAATCATCTGGTTCGGAGGACGTTGAATCACCGGAAGATTCGGATGCTGCTTCACAAATACGATCCTGAGGAAATTGTCCGGCAATACGACTTATCTCAACTTGAAGTCGTCCAGCAACTTCACCTTGTTGACTTATGATCGGTGTATGATAGTCTAACCGAACGTCGTGAAACAATACTTCTAAAAATATATTAGCTACGCCAATCAAATTGTGCTTCTCTTGTGACTCGTAAAATGGATCTTGAGTTTTCCCCAATACCTCGTCCTGTGTTTTTCATTTTAAAATAAAATGATAATAAATATATTAGAAATCTTGTATCTCTCAACTCATTTTTCTTAGATGCACTAATGAGTTCAAGATAAATATATAATATTTTTATTAAATTACCTTAACGACAGGTAATCGTTGACAATTATTAGGATCTTTCCTTTCCTCGTACATTTCTCGCATATCAACCAATTTATTTTCCAATTTTTCCATTGACCAAACTTGACTACCCATGTTTGTTCTTTTGACCAATATCGCTGGTTCACTGACGAATGCACCACGCTGGAAGAATACACTCTACGTGTAGTAACGTCAGAGTGTAACGAAAAGAAAAAACCGAAAAAAACAAACAAACGAATAAACAAAAAGACTAAACTACGAACAAAAATATTATACAAAAACAAAAAAAAAAGAAAACAAAAAAAAATCTAAACCAATTAATTCGACAAAAAACTACAAACAAATATGACTGCACGTATAATTAATTAATTAATTAATTAAACAATCAATAAATAAATCAATTCATTAATTATTATCATCATTGATTACCTTTCTATTTGGACTTAAATTATTCGGCGGAATTTGCAAAGTAACACTAAATTTAGTTTGTTTTCCCATTTCTTCGGCAAGAACGTTAGCCTCCTGTACCAAAGTGTTTGCTTTTAATATGTCGGTTTTTAATTGACCCAAACTTCTTTTAAACATTTCATCCCTTTCTTGAGCCCACTTTTCGACCCGCATTTGAGTGGTCGGCGTACAAGCTGGAAGTTTACCAGTTTGACTTCCTCTCAGAGGATCGTATGGTACGTAAGGTGAATAAGGCGTTGACGGTGAGAGTATGTTACGTAATTGTTGAAATTGTCTTTCGTATTCCAACCTTTGTTTCTCGAGTGCAACCTTTAAATATTTTCCAAGAATAAAAAAACAAAAGAAAAGAAAGAAAAAAAAAAAAGAAAAAAAAAACAAGAAAAATCAGAGGAAAAAAGTAACAAGTAATGAGATGAAATAAAAATTGTTAATAGGAAACACAAATAAATCAATTTCGAATACACACTTGTTTATCCTCCTCGTGTTGTTTTTCCAATCGTGCTATTGCCCTTTGAATCGGATCATTCGACAATTCGTTTTGCATAAGTTCTTCTCTGGCAAAAGTGTAATCGATATTTTGAGCAGGCGTTTGTGGTTCGCTGTTAATCGCTGTAAAATAAAGAAAAATTATGTTAATGTTAAAAATAAATGATTGGAATATATATATGCGAATGAGATTAATTTGAATTATATGTATATAATAACCTGTAGCACTTCTCGGACAATTGACCCTGAAGAAATGATGATTTCCCCAAACGATTCTATCACCGTGCAACAATGGTGTCTTGTCTACCACTTGATTACCATTAACGAAACATCTAGCACCATTTAATGGTGTCATATAAAGGCCAGACTCCTCGATCGTAATTACACAATGTTCAGGTAAAATACCTAAACCATGCAATTGAATATCCTGTTCGGTTTTAGCTGAACGTCCACCAACGAGAGTCCTTTCTTTAAGATAATAAACCAAGAGCTCGTTTAAGCTAGGATCATCGTTCAAATTAACCAAATAATATTTATTCTTTTCCACTTGGATTCCTGATGCTTGAACACTGATACCCATTTTTTCTAATGCTTGTTGTCTCTCGTGTTGAAGCCTTTCAGTTTTAACGAGCTTCTCTTCCCAGGTTTGCGACATCTCTTTCATCAATCGTTCAGATTCAGATAATTTTTCTGTTATATCTGTGCGTTGTTGACCCACGATAGAACCTTGACCCTAACATTTTATTTTAATCATCACATCATTATTCAACGTGGTGTCGTCCAAACAATTTTGATCTCATTTTCAATTTATATATTAACTCTTTGTAACTTTCTGATTGTTACACTTGTTTGAAAAAAAAAAAAACAGTACACATTGTAATCACCCCAATTGATTGGAAGCATAGCAGCAATTGTACAGTACATAGAACATTATATTATATATCCTAACCAATTCTTTATTTACAAAGAGTTAATTATAATTCAACAAGTTTGACACACGAACAACAGTTCGATTAACCCGTCTATTGTTAAACAAATTGACACCGTTTTATCCTGAATCGAATATAATATAATAATATATGTTTTTTTTCTTTTTGGTTTAAATATTATTATATACAATTTTTGAATGATCCTTTTTAACACTTTACTGACCGATCGCCTATTAATCGGCTTTTTATCGACAATACTAACCGACCGATCGACTATTAATCGGCTTTTTATTGCCAACGCTTATCGAACAATCSCTTTTGTTGCATTGTTGTTATCAACATTTTATTAAATTTAATTATCYTATCCTGTAATGTGCTATATATCCTAATATATCCTGKTATAACAGAAAGCGGAAAATTTTCTCTGAGCATATGAAACGCACAGATACTCCCGTGCGTTAGTGTAGGCCGAAAAACAGCGGTCGTTTGAGAGTATCTGCGGCTGAGCGATCAGTCAGTAAAGTGTTAATAATCATTCTAAACTTGATGCGAATTTTTACGAAGAACGTATCTCGTAAAGTTAGCAATGAACGGGTTAATGTTTTATTCCACTTTGAAAAAATGGATTTTTTGATAAATCAACAATCTCACCGTAGCGTGTAACAACATTTCCTTCAACGCTTCGACTTCTTGTCTCAATTCTCGTATGATCCTTGCGTTAGGATCCTCGTTGACAACTGCATGATTGACTATTCTCTTTGCCCTATCAGCATAACGCAGAGTTGACAACGTTTCCTCGTAATTATCTGCTGCAGGTGATATCGTAGCAACCATAACGGTTTTACTATTACCACCGAGATTATCCTGAAAACAAATGTACACGTATAACGCTCGTAAACGTTTATGGTGTTCGGGAGGGTGTAAGTATTTTCTACTCGTCGTCATCGTCGTTCCCTTTAAACTTCAATTCCCTTTGGTATTTTCTCTATTTCTCGTCCCTTTACTGCACACCGAATGCTGTACAGTTTGAAATATATATATATGTGTATATGTGTGTGTGCCTGTGATATATTTATTCGTATCACTCTTTTTCTCTTAGGTATAATTTTATTTTACTCTTCTTACGATCTAACACAAATATATTCTAATGTTTGCTCACAAATTGTAGTTTGTTTTTTTTTGGTAAAAATAAATAATAATTTTGCAAATAAAACAAATAGAAGGATTCTAATTGATGAAACTGTTATTACTATTGCTAGGGGTAAAATATCCCTAGAGAATAAAATTATTATACAAACTAGATCCCACTCTTTATCTCTCGTAAAGAATAATTATTTAATTGCAATCGTTGCAATACTCCAAAATTTATTAAAGTTTATGTAATATCTATGATCATTCTCAAAAAGTTTAAATCAACATTTGATTATAGGAAAAAAAAAGAAGAAAAGATTTACCTTTAAAAGCCAAGTCAGAACAGAATCTCTGTAAGGTACGAACTTGTCTTTATTTTTGTTGCCACCAGAATTCTGATCTGCTAACTTCGAAATGACTAGACCCAATGTCGTGAGAGATCTATATAAACAGGAAGAATAAAACAACGAATAATATAAGAGAACAATTAATTAGAAATAAAAAACACAGTGGGTGGTAGAAAATTAAATTAGTAACAAATATATATATTTATATTTATATAAAAAAGAAATGAATGAAAGTTCAATGAAAATAATTGATCGTATAATTTGAATTATATATTTATATTCCTGGATCTATCTATATTAAATTATATCCCATATAATAATAATAATAATAATAATAATAATAATAATAATAATAATAATAATAATAATAATACTTACTTGTTAATATTGCTTCCCTCTTTAAGCCTATCACCAACTGCTCCAGTTTTCACAGCCCTTTCGCTACCAGCCAAATCTACCAAACTCATTCGCGATACTTTCTCACCGCTTACCCCACTTTTTAAATCTGTCAGTGTTTGTGTTAAAATAACTGAGAACACTGCATGCGAACGAGAACTTTCCGAGTTCATGTTAGTCGCTGCCACTGTTCTCGATTTGTTGCCTTCCGCCATTAAATTATCGATATCCTGTATAAACGATTATTTTATTCATCTTTTTTTTCTTTTCCTTTTTCTATTTCTTTCAAATATAACAAATTAGAACACAAACAAAAATGAAATATATATATAATAAATAATATTATATATCTATATATATATATATATTTTTTAATTTGTAACAACAAATCAATTGTGTCCTATTTAATTGTATTAATTAATATTTCATTTGATAATGAATTTTAATTTAACCTGAAAAGATGTTACAGCAAGTTGACTCAGTCCATCCACGTAAGGGCCAAGTACATTGTGTTCCCTGACTTTGAGCGAGTGTTTATTCGGCTTTGGATCGAGAAGATCGTGCACCTTCTCGTTGTAAATCTCCATGTATGATACCTCGACCTTGAAAGTCAATTGAGAACTCTGTTGCTTCGCTATCATGTCGAAAAGATTGTCACAAAGTCGTGGAATTATTCCTTTTTGATCACCGCTTCCCATCATCGTATAAGATTTCCCGGATCCTAATAAAATATTATTGAATATTTCAATTCTACGTAATACACATATAATACACAAATATATAAATCAATTTGATATTTATTGAATATTTAATTATTATTTTTCAATTGTTACGAGATCAATTTGATTGATCGTAAATTCTTCAAACTTTTGAGTAAGGATAATAGTAGAGTTTGTTTGTTCTTAAGGGGTTACATGGGTTTACACCGGGAAAAAATAGCATATTTTCAACAATTTTTTTTTCTATATAAAAAATGGAATTCTTATTGAAACTTTTTATAGTATTTAAGATACATATTTAAAGAACATATTCTGAATTTTTGGTTGAAAAATATTTTAAACTCAGCCATTGCGACGTCATTTCCGGTGACCCCACCGAAAAAAAGTGTTTTCGCGTTGACAGCACAACTTATARACGGTGGGGGTTTTTCTGTTGAAAAAATAAGGTCTTTTAGTGAATACTTCAAACTAGAAACTGGACGAAGGAAAAAGAAAAAACTTAAAATTTGGATTTTTGGCAACGTTTTTAGCAAGAACATTCAAATTTCGCTACAATTTTCACCACATTTTGGTTTCTTCAAATTCGATTTTATGAAAAAAAAACGAAAATCCTTCGTCCAAGTCCTTGTCAATAGTATCACGAAGACGTGTAGCAAATTTCATGAAAATCGGTTAAATAGTTTTCGAGAAATCTTGACAACCGACTKTAGAAAAAGCGTTTTGAGAAAAACGCGTTTACAGATTTGAGTGCTGGTATAAGAGCCATTAAAGAGTGGAACTTCCCATGGCTCTATCCTTAAAACTACTACTCCTATCGACTTCAAAATTCAATACAGTATTATAGATGAGTTGTAGAATTGAAAAAAAAAAAATAAAAAAAAAAAAATTTTTGTGGAAGTCCCAAACCCATGTAACCCCTTAATGAAAGGATTCGTTTATCCTTACCGGTTTGTCCATAAGCGAAAATACAAGCGTTGTAGCCTTGAAACGCATTGTCCAAAATATCACGTCCAAGAGCGTCGAATACGATTTCCTGACTTGCGAACTTTTCCGATCCGGGTTCCAAGGAATAAAAGCAATGATCGAATGCGAATGTTTTCGGCTTGTTCCTGTAATAATTAAACAATAAATATTTTCATTAGTATACGCAAAGATATAATATATTAAAATTTTAGTCTTTCGATTATCGAGATTTTATGCATTTTATGCATTATATTATTTTTATGCATTTTTTTTTATTAATTTTAATATTTCGTTGATTTTCTTCTCGAATAAAAATGATTGCCATACACACACAAAGAACAATACACGATAATATTTTCCTTAATGTGGAATGTGATTTTATTTTTGATATTCTTTGGAAGGAAAAAGTTTTGTCATAGATATAAAAACGATAAAAGAAAACTGATAATCGGAAGCTAACGACCAGCACCCCTTCCCTACCCACCCCTTCCCATAACTCGAATCACTATCATTCTTCTATTCGGAAAAAGGGGATGGTAGTACACCAATAGTAGTTTTATGAAAGCTTTACGAATAAATCGATTCTATCTTTCTCTCTCACTCTGTTCTTATTCCATTGGTGGATTTCCTTTTTCTTACAGGACTAAAGTTTCTTATATAGCTTAAACAACTTCCAAGTATATAGCTAAATTCATTCCTTATTGTTCAACCCTTTCCTTCACGGGGGTAGCTCTGCCATTTTGAATTTAATATTATGTTTTTGTTCTTTCATGAATCACTCGAGTAACGATCGATTCAATTCTTCGTTTTATATACAATATTCATTCTTATATAAAGTAGAAATAAAATACTTATTTTTAAATTCATATATAAATATATCAACACTTGATAGTATAATTTTAAGATTGGTGATAATTAGTGGTAGACGAGGGGTGTGTTAAGAGTAAACCAAAAATGTGAGATAATTATAAGTGAAGTAATAATAAGACATTGTAAAAAACTTTGTAAGTTGTGCAATAAAAACCTGATTATATATATATTAACACTTAATATAAGTGTTAAGACAATTTATATTAAAAATAAATAAATTATTGTATGAAATGATTGTTGTGTTGTGATTATAGTTAAAATTTGATAATTGTTAATTACAGTTTTACACACACATTATTATAATATAATATAATATAT